TTTGCTTAAAATTGACTCCATGTCAGGAATACACTATTTAGGATGAAATCCAATTTAAATAGTCTCAATAACAGTCGAAATTGTCAAAATAAGTCCAACATACGACGTTGCGAATTGCGATCGCAAATGTGTATTTTCTGTTGTTTTGCGACACTTAAGCGTTAATATTTTCGCGACAAAATATGTTATTTTTTTACCGCATCCTTGACGTCACAGTTGAAGCAAAATGCATCACCTACGTCACGTTAGATTCGATTGGCATCCCATCCTCGTTCCCAGGGCTTCTCGGCTGCCTGTTGGCATCCATTTTGCCAATCTCGTTCCCCGAGCCTGCGATCCTTGGGAAGGAAACGAAGGCTCTGGGATAATCCATCTCAGACATACAGAAAACTGTATGTCGACCGAACTGCGCATGCGTTGCCAAAAGCAAAACAAATTGTTAGAAATATTTTATTGTTTCGTCTATAAAATGATGATTTTTTCTGGGTTTTGGTGGAAATGTTGATGTTCTTCATAGTGGGATACAAAAGGTGTGTTAGCGACTGAATAAGGAAAATATTGCGTGTGAAACAGGGTCAGTATAGAGCCGGCAGGAGCCGAGAAGAGTGCTGTTGTCGAAGAAAAATGTCACAATTAATTGTAATCTTGTCCATTCCGGCCTCTGTGTCAGTTTGAACAGGTTTGAAAAAGCTTTAAATGTAGAGACATTTGTGCTTTCTCCAGCATAATTTAGCCGTTTAACGCTATTATGTTTCTAATGGAAGGGCAATTTTCAAGAACAAAAACAATTACAATGTACTGTGTGTTAATTGCTGTCTCAATTCTAATTTAATTTTAATTTATTAGCTTTGCCTTGTAGATAACTATATTACAATTTATGGCAGGGAGTCCGTAACAGCACTTAGCCAATTACTACGGCCCCATAAAACTAACATTAAAACTAATATTACAAATTTAACAAATACAATAATCAACTAACAACAAACAGCATATGAAAATAACAACAATACGTCTTTCACATGCAGCACGAGATTGGAATACTAAGACTACGAACAGAGTTACACTTTGGACAAATGGTTTTGTACGAACGAGGGACGTTGACATTGTAACAAGTTCTTAATGACATAGAGTAATAATTAAAAATGACAGTTTTAAATGTAGAGAAACCACATGTGTCCAGTTTTAGTTGATCGGCGAGGAGGTTCCAGATCCGAGTTGATCGGATAAAGAAGGATTGTTGATAGGTGGATGTCTTGCATTTCGGAATGACATATTTGGTGGAAGTACTGGTGGAAGATCTAGTTTGTCTGGAGGTGCGGATTGTTGGAAGGAGAGATTCATTTATGTCTACAAGTCCGTGGGTAATCTTGTAAAAGAGAACCATGTCAAGGTACTCATGCCAATAACAGATTGGTAGGAGCGATAGAGCCTGGAGCCTGGTGGTATAGTCCATGGTACTGGAAAATGGTAACTCGAGGATGAATCTAGTTGCTCTTCTCTGTGTGCGCTCGACTTGTTTCAACAGTTCAACGGACTGTGGAGCCCATATTTGTGTTGCATACCCTAGGTGTGGTCTTACAAGGGCCAGATACAGCGTGCGCCGGACTGAGGTGTTGTGGATATACAGAGATGATCTTCGGATGTATCCAAGTAACTTGTTTGCTTTGGTCGATTGTTCGTTAACTTGTTTGTTCCACGTAAGTTTGTTCTCCACCCACACGCCGAGATCTCGTTCACTGTCAGTTTGTTGTATGTTTAGGGTGTTAAGTTTGT